GAAATTGCGACGCTGTTGCAAAAGGGCGCCATAGAGAGAGTCCCACCATCTATGACCGAGTCGGGGTTTTACGGCCGTTATTTTCTGGTTCCCAAGTAAGACGGCGGCCTCAGACCGATTTTAGATCTCAGGTCTTTGAACAAAGTGCTCATGAAGAGACCGTTCAAGATGCTCACTACCAGGAAACTCCTCGCGCAGGTGCGCCAAGGGGACTGGTTCATCTCTCTAGACCTGAAAGACGCCTATTTTCAGATCCAGATAAATCCCCGTCACAGGCCATTCTTCCGTTTCGCCTTCGAGGGTCATGTTTATCAATACGCCGTTCTCCCGTTCGGCTTATCCCTGGCGCCCCGCACATTCACGAAGTGCATGGATACGGCGCTCGCCCCCCTGCGGAGCCAGGCGCTGCGCATATTGAATTATCTGGACGACTGGCTGATTTTGGCCCAATCACAGACGGAGCTTCTGTCGCACCGCGCAGTTCTCCTCGACCATCTGAAAACGCTGGGCCTCTCTGTCAACTGGACAAAGAGCTCCCTTCAACCCAGTCAATCGATTTCCTTTCTAGGAATAGATTTGAACTCGGTCACGATGACGGCTCGCCTGTCTACACAGCGCGCGCGCAGTGTACAGCGACTGGCCGCCTCGTTTCAGATGGGCACCCGCACACCTCTGAAAACTTTTCAGAGGATGCTGGGTTACATGGCCTCAGCCTCCGCTGTGCTTCAGCTGGGCCTTCTGCACATGCGTCCGCTTCAGCTTTGGTTAAACAGCCGTGTACCCCACCGCGCGTGGAACACGGGCCGCCAGCTGATCAGAGTTACGCAGACATGTCTCACGGCGCTGCAGCCATGGACAGTAGCAGAATGGTTTCGACAGGGCGTCACGATGGGGACCTTTTCCCGCCGAAAAGTCATCTCGACAGATGCATCCAACACGGGTTGGGGTGCAGTCTGCGAGGGCTCACCGGCCTTCGGCCATTGGTCGACACAGGAAAGCCCCTTACACATAAACTGTCTGGAAATGCTTGCGGTCGAGAACGCGCTTTCGCGCTTCCTCCCGCTCATTCGGGGACACCACGTCCTGATCCGTTCGGACAACATGGCTGTGGTCTCCTATCTCAACCGTCAGGGCGGTGTCAGGTCCAGGAATCTCTTCCTACTGACACACCGCATTTTAGTTTGGTCTCAGAGCCGCCTGCTCTCGCTCAGAGCGACGCATGTGCCGGGCCATCTGAACGACGGTCCAGACATACTGTCCAGGAACCTCATCTCCTCAGGAGAATGGTCCCTGAACACACAAACGGTCCAAATACTGTGGCGGCTATTCGGCAGAGCAGAGGTGGACCTCTTCGCGTCAGAAGAGAACGCTCACTGCCCAATATTTTTCTCAAGGAGCGAGGACGCTCTAGCCCAGGAATGGCCTCGCCGCCCGCTCTATGCATTCCCTCCGATCGCTCTGCTACCACAGGTAATTCAGAGGATCAGGGACACACGCCACTCGGTGCTCCTCATAGCCCCGCGTTGGGAGAGTCAGAATTGGGTTCCGGAGCTCACTCAGCTGTCACAGACAGCCCCGTGGCCCATCCCAGTCAGAGCAGATCTCCTCTCTCAAGCTCGCGGCAGGATCTGGCACCCCCATCCACGGCGCTGGGCGCTACATGCATGGGTGATCAACGACTATTCGTCGATTTGCCAGAAGGAGTAAGAAACACTATCATACAGGCTAGAGCACCTTCCACGAGAAGGCTCTATGCGTCTAAATGGTCTGTGTTCTCAAAATGGTGCACCGACAAACATCTGGACCCACGGTCATGCGAGGTGCCGTCTTTGCTTGTTTTCCTTCAAGAGATGCTGGACAAGGGCAGGTCCCCCTCCACTCTCAAGGTTTACGTGGCAGCCGTCGTGGCGTTCTCTGAACCCCGACGCGCTCAGTCCCTGGGCAAAGACGAGTTAGTCATCCGCTTCCTCAGGGGAGCTAAGAGGATGAACCCTCCGCGCCCCCCTTCGGTTCCTATCTGGGATCTTTCTATAGTTCTCGAAGCTATGAAAGCACCCCCGTTCGAACCGCTCGAGTCTGTGGACCTAAAATACCTCTCGCTCAAAACCGTTTTTCTGACGGCTCTGTCCTCAGTAAAACGCGTGGGGGATCTTCACGCGCTCTCATCCAGCGCCGCGTGTCTCGAGTTTGGACCGAATGATTCTGTTGTCATTCTCAAACCTAGGCATGGCTATGTCCCGAAGGCGATTGGTACCCCGTTCAGGGCTCAGATTATTTCCCTATCGGCTCTGCCTTCATCCGATAGTGAGCGCGACGCCAATCTCCTCTGCCCGGTGCGGGCTCTGAGATTGTACACTACGCGCGCTGCCGCGTTCAGACGCGCTGAGCAGCTTTTCGTGTCGTTTGGGGGGCGCACCAAAGGTCTGGCCGCCTCTAAACAGACACTGTCTAGATGGATAGTAGACGCTATCGCCTCTGCTTACGCATCTAAATGCCTGCCCTGCCCTCTGGGCATCAGGGCGCACTCCACTAGAGGCATGGCCTCATCGTGGGCATGGTCCTGTGGAATTTCCATTCATGACATTTGTGTGGCCGCGGGATGGGCCTCCCCGTCCACTTTTGTCAGATTTTACAACTTGGAAGTTCCCGCCTTGCAGGCAAAATTACTAGCTGTCTAACGACCAGCTCCCTAAGAAGCTGCATTACTGGGAGTCCCTCACACAACCGGTTCGCCCCTTGTGCTCTCCTTAAATGCTTATACACTTCATGTGCCCGCTCTGCCGGCCTCATACATGCTTATGTATACACTTCATGTGCCCGCTCTGCCGGCCTCATAATACATTCACTCCACGTTAAAAATCCCCCGGTATCACCCTGGGATTCATGAGTGGATTCATAGCGCGCTCGGCGTTGACCAGGTGTTCCCGCAGCGTAAGCTAGCTTACGCAATACGAGAGAACCTCTCGTAAGAGAACAAATCGGTTACCTAACGTAACCTCGGTTCTCTCTAGAAGAGGGAACGAGTATTGCGTTCCCGGCCGTGCTTGCGCTACTAGCGTTTCGCTTCACGCTGAAATAAATCAACATATAAGCCTGGGAGAGACTGTTATATACACCATAGCCACGCCCATTCTGGCGGGCCATGACGCAATGAGCGCGCGGGCGCCTCTCATTGGAAGCGGGTTCAGCCCCGCTCTCCCATAGGCTTAAGCAGTTCTCTCTGAGCGAACCAATGAGCTGCTAGCTAGCCTGCTCTAGGTCTGCCGCAGAGGAACTGCGTTGTCAATGGATACAAATTATGAAATAATTTTTTGGCTTCAATATCTCAGCAAAGATGAATCTTTCCCGCAGCGTAAGCTAGCTTACGCAATACTCGTTCCCTCTTCTAGAGAGAACCGAGGTTACGTTATAGGTAACCGATTCGTTTTCATTTGCAGGAGAAGTGACAGTGTTTTTCTCCTGTCTTTGTCTGTTAGAGGTTTGATATGACAGCACACATTAACAACCTGTAGCTGACACTCAACTGTATTAGATAACAATTTCATATTCAAACAGCCATTATATAGTCCAGGGCCACATAAACAATTTAATTAAAAACCAGTTTCTCTGACAGTGATATTGTGACAGAAATTAGATATTTTTCAAGCCTGTCAAATCAAACGGTTGTTGTTGTTGACCCTCTCAATTTCTAGGTTTGTATAATCATGCAACTATAGTAATTTCAGACTCTCAGAGTCTATTGAACCTGTGTGCCAGAATCACTCTCTGACTCAATCAGCGCTGATTCAAAGATCCAGTTTATGAGAATAAGTTCAGATGCCAAGAGCTGAATGGGATGCAGAATTGTTACTTTCTGCAAAAGATTCAGTTTTTGAGCATAATTTGGATTTATTTTTGTTATGTAAAGACAGTGTTTTTCTGTTTTTAATCACAACTTGTCAGTTACCCGATTAGCAGACTGTAAAATTCAGTAGCTGCCAAAGATGGGCAGCTAAGTGAAAAATCACAGCGGGACACAGAAAATCTGTCATTTCAGCTCACTTTTTAACCAAAGGTGCAAGGATAGATTCGAGATGATCAGACTAACTTTCTACTTCTTGATGGACCCCGTATACCTGGAATCTAAGTGGCACCTTTTATATTATTCCTTTAGAAAGGCCCGACCTAATGTAAGGTAAATATAATGCTACGTGAGATATAATTCTCAAGCTGTTTTTTTTTTTATATCTTCCTGCAGTTGAAACACTGTTTGAGAGATGTAAACTGCCGAACATAGTCTCTTCTTCTTCTGCGCTTTTTACTGGTAGCAAACAGCGTTGCATTGCTGCGCGCCCTTCCGGATTGGAGTGTGGATCGCCGGTAACTGAATGTTTTCGGCTTGCGACTGCATGCACCGAACCGGGATGTCCGTACCGTACAGTTTGGGATGATTACATGTACCGTTACATCCCTAATATTTATAATGAAGAAGGCTGTTTGATTGCTTGTAAAATACCTGTACATGAATATATTTCATTACATGATGAATGTATTTGCGAGGATTTCAAATGTATGTTATTGAGTTATTGGGGTACAGTTTATTTGCCACCCAAAAAGTGTATGTGAATGTATGTGTTTTATGAAGCATTGAGAATAGAGATCCCTTCATTTTGTGTTTGTGCTTGGCTAATGTTCCTGGAGCCAAATGTAGAATTTTTGGAGAGACTGGAGAACAATGTGCATGCATTAAAAAAAGCGAGATGCCTTCTTTATTTCATATATCATGATGGAAGCGTAATTTGCTTCAGAACATAGTGACATTGACAAAATCTCATGTCAAGAGATGTTTTGTGGCTGCTAATGGAAGAGAATGAATGGATTGGGAAATAACATGTAAATGAGAGCTCCATCTGGTTTATTTGTGAGGCCTTTTATTCATTGTATGGCTGAACTGTTTGACCGGAGTGACCGAGTTTATTAGCCCTTAATTTTACTTTTTTTTCTTTCTCCTGTTTCCCCAGAAACCTGTTAGATCGAGACACGTTCTCCAAGTCTGATCCTTGTAAGTATTTCTCTTTTTTTCCATGGCTGAAGTAAAAAACTAAAATCTCTTTAAAATCTCTTTTTTTCCACACATATACAATCTCGCTCCCCAGGCTTCGTACCTCACTGAAATGTTTTCAGGTTCTCAGGTTCTCTTCAGGTTCCACACACCTCCTCTCTGACTTTCTTACGCTCTCCACACTTTGCAATTTGTCTACTCTGCTATTTCTCCAAGTTGCCTAAAACACATGCATATAATTTGCATCACAATGTGACAGCTTTTCTTCACTATCAAGAAAAATGCAGAAGTGCTTAAAATATGCAGAGCATGAACTCAGCCCCCTGAATACAAATGCTGCATGAGTCATTGGGGACTTGTGTACAGTAAATCTCTCGCTGAAGACATGAGATTATGAAATAGAGAGCAATAGGTCAAATAGTCTGGCTTCCTTTGTAATTCTAATCTTTGCTAAAAAGAGCGTTTCTTTCTTAGAGGTTGCTTTTTCATCAATGAAACTTGATGTTAACATTATTAAATTATTAGAATTCTCAGTTCAGTTTCATTTAACCTTCATGTTCCACAGTACTGAGTGTGTGTAAAACTAATAACCTTGTTTATTTTTCCTTCAAACTTATTTTTTATATGTCCTTGACCCCCTTAAAAACCCAGTAGTTAAATGTTGACCTTTTAACCTTCTGTAGAATCATCTGAGAACCCAAATTCAAATAATGTTTTTAAAATGTTCATGGAACTTGAGGGTTAAATATTAACTAAATATTTAGATACTTAATATATCTTAATATTTTCCCCCTAAAATTCTTAATCAGAAATGAATAATAGACCCACCAGATTACATTGTACAGAGTATCAATTTTAAAATAATTGGATAAAATAATTTAAAAACATTCCATTTTTTGGAAGAATGTAATAATAGAAAATAAGGTCTATTTCTCAGGAGACAAATGTAAGAAGGAAACTTGTTCTCTGTTTAATTTAATTGCTGTCTATAAGAAATAATTAAGACATTAAAAAAGAGATCTCATTTGAGACGTTTATTTTCCATGGGTCAGTTTAACTTACCTTGTAGCATTAAATCAGTGTTAGTTTAGGTAAATGTGTTGATTTGATTCAAAAAAGTTTGTTTTAATCATGAACTAAGCTTCTAGCTTTTAAGCTGTTCTTCAGAGATGCATCTACAGTAACTGTAACCTAAAAGCTTTTAAAAAAAATTAAATAGATGCTGATTTCTCTCTTTTTTCCCCCTTTTCTTGTCTTCTCAGTGTGTGTTCTGTACACTCAGGGAGTGGAGTCTAAGCAGTGGCGTGAGGTAAGTGTCCACGTTCGGGAACAAACCTACAATCAGCTCTGACAGAGACTCCCTCATTTCCCCTAATCAGCTCTGCATATCCTCTCCGTCTCTCGCCCCCTTCACTCTCTCCACAGCCCTCTGGTGCCCATCACTGCCCATTGATTCTCCTTTTGAATATTCATGAATCTGTCCCCATGGCCCTTAGTGATTGGCTGTTAAGATGATTGTACACTTTCCGTTAGCGATTAGCATTAAAGTCGATCTTGCTCTAAAGTTACAGGCCAGGGCATTTGTGATGCTTCCCAGCTCATTGAATGTGATTTTTCAGACTTAAGCTGTGTTGAGCTAGAGGACCTGGCCTTTGGATTTGGCAGGTCATTACAATCAGCTGAAAAACGGACATCCTCGGGCTATCATATCCATCACTGAGCTTGTAAAAAAGACCCTGAATATGAAAAATCGCATTGCGGTACTTTTTTTTGTGCAAGTTTTGGTTTGTGCTACAGAGACCCTTTTTTAATTAAATCCCTTATTAGCAGGTGACAGTTGTTCCAGCAGGTGCTTTCAAGGCCGACATGAATGCGTCAAAGCGGTCGTAAATGTCACGATGCGCGCATGAGGAGCTGTAACAACTTTTTGACCCAAAATAAAACCGAATTGGTGTCAATCCTCCTCCTTCACAGCAGGTTTTGATGGAACACCTTTCTTCTATGATGAAAGACGACTGCTTACATACTGAGCAGGTTTCTAACTCCGATTAGCTGCGTAGACTTTCTCCATGCCTCTGCCCATGTAAGATGCCTCTTGTTTGGGTATAATACCGACCGCTGTGGAAAAGAGGCAGTCAAGCTGTAAGGGATTGATAAGGATGGAGTTTTCTTTGTGCGTTTCTCTGTCTCAGCAGGAGATTTGGGAGTCTGTGTGTCTCTCTCTTTGTTACTAACACAGCATAAGCGCCTTACTTTCACTGAGTGATTGTGCCCATGGTTTCACTACTGTATTCCACTTTCTTTTAACTTTTTTCTTGTTTTTGTTGTATTTAATTCTTTATTAATAAGCAATGAAACCAGTCAGTTATACACATTACAGAGATTTTACCATGGATAAGTGTTTTTATGTGCAAAATCCGCTTAAATGTAGTAAAACAATGCTTATTGCTTTGATTTAAATATTTAATTTGATAAAACACACCAATGTTCAATAAATGATTAGTACTAATATATATATGTAAAGAATAAGGTACGAGAGGCTGTGCTGTGTCGTGAATAAATCACGGCTAAAGAGTGTAGCCTCGAGTAGCCTACCTTATTGCTTTTATAAAACGGTTACCACACAATACAATAATGCTAAAAAAATATGTATTAGTGCAACTTTCATGAAAATCACTAATGGCCTTCCTTCCGCTGGAAAAAATTGTCCCTGACCGTGAACAGCTGCAGAGGTTACATTAGTTTGCCATTAGATGGCGGGAAAGACAGTCTTTATGGTGAGTCAGTCAGTAGAGAAGACTTTTATGTTGAAACGACTGAAACTTGTGAACACAGAGAAGCAAGAGATGCAACTGATAAATGATTAGCGTGTCATGGCACGGGAAAACCCCTTAACTGTTAAAGTCGGCATGAAACGGAAGTTGAGATTGTCATTTTTTCCTTGTTGTGATGTATATCCGAGTGAAACGGCTTCTGAAATTAGAACAAAATGTAGGGCGGGGCTTGATTTCGTCCTTCGGGAATTGATTGGATCGTTGGAGGTTGGGCGTTGCAAACAAAATGTAGTCAGATTTGAATGCCAGTTTACATTCAGTTGTGGAGGATTTCTCTCCACCGGACTCCCCACCGTTACCCTCCCATGAACGATTTTTTATTGAGGAGCCCGGCGACGAGAACGCGGACGAGCAGTTACATTTTCAGGCAGGAATCAGCCCATATTTATTCGAGCCTCCCGCGAACCAAGATCAAGTCAATTCATCAGTCAAGAGAGGCGGTGCACCGATAGCCGCACCCTCATCGGCTTTGGCCGCACCCTTTCGCCATGGCACGTGACCGAAAGAGAAGAGAGGTCGTTTCGAGGGGGGAGGGAAGGGTAATGTATTTGATTAAAGATTATTAGGGTACATGAATTAAAAAAAATAATGAAGTGCACATATAAATCATTTACAATGAACACTACAATATTACATATAAAAAGAAGATTTGTCAAATTTGATTTCATGCCGACTTTAAAATGACATCGCAGCGGACATTCAAACGGATTTTTTATTACGAATATAAGGCTGACCTGAAGGAACATGCTATACTGTAAAAATGCAGGTACACTCGCTCCCTCACAATACTAACGTTACTTTATATAAGCTTCAATGAACAATATCAATGATAACAAACATGTTTACGTTGCTAGCGGTGTTGTGTAGACATAGGCCCTGTGCCAAATGGCACACTTCATATGCACTTTCTGTCATGATTCTGCCCTCGTGTCCTTGATTTTCTCTAGTCTTGAGGCAGGATCATGACAGAATCATGTTTTGTGTGCAAGCACATGGTCTTGTGTTTTGAGCCATGTGCTTGTGTTGTCTCGTTACGTTACCCCGCCCCCTTGTTATCCTCGTCTCGTCATTATTGTCTAGTCAGTTTCACCTGTCCTTGTCTAGTCTGCTTCACCTGTCTTTGTCATTAGTGTTCCCCTATTTCATCCCCTTGTGTTTGCTGTCCTGTGCCGGTTCATTGTGTCACACTTTGTGAGAGTCTACCTAATGAACCGGCCAAAACCGAACCCTGCAGACCGTTTGCCCGTCCCTGCCAAGTGTTATCCGGACCCCCTTAGAGAAGTCTGGTTGTCTTCTCCCCTCAACAAGAGGAGTGTCACCCTTCCATACTCACCCGAGGGTGAGTGGATCTTGTCGAACTTCTCTCGTCTGTATGACCACTTCTCCCGGGAGGAGTCCGAGGCAGCATCCTCGAGGTCTTCACCTTCTGCCCGCCTACCTATCATTCGCGAGGGTCGAATGATAGGCGTCGCGATGCTTGGGGACCAGGCTGGCTCCCTCACAACTCCTGGCACTTCATCTACCTCCTTCGGTCTTCGAGGGAGGCGAACCTCGTGGGACTCTCCTTCAGAGTCCTCAGCGTCGGAGTGTATCCTGCCAGAGATAACCCCTCCTTCGCACGACACAGTTCCAGCCGTGCTTCCCCAACCCGTCTCAGCTCCGGCGATGGTCTCTGCTTCTCGACCTAGGAGAAAGAGGAGGAAGAGGGGAGCCTCCCGTTCTTCAAGCGCCATCCCAGATCCCGCTCCAGCGAACGCAGTCACAGAGCCCGCTGCAGTCACAGAGCCCGCTGCAGTCACAGAGCCCGCTGCAGTCACAGAGCCCGCTGCAGTCACAGTGCCCGCTGCAGTCACAGAGCCCGCCGCTGTGAGGGCGGTCCCAGCACCCGCTGCTGAGAGAACAGTTCCTGAGCTAACTTCTGAGAGAGCTGTTTCCGAGCTCGCTGCTCCAGCTCCTGAGAGTACTGCACAGGAGAGCGCTTCCGAGTTTAATATGAGCACTACATCTGAGTCTGAGTCGATTACTTCTCACCCTGTCTCCTGTCTTGTGCTGTCTCCTTCTCTGTCCCAGTCACGTTCCCCCAGCGCTTCTCCACGTGTCACCCTGTCTCAGTCTGGTTCCCCTATGGCTTCTCCTCGAGTGCCTCCACCCAAGTCCGCCCGGAATCCTCGTCCCAAGCCCTCATCCCGTGGACCTAAGACCCCCAGCACACCCATCCACCCTGGACCACCCCCCATGAACTCTGTGTTTCCTCCGCCACCTCTTCCTTGTTTATTATTTTTAATGTTTCATCCTAACCCTGTTGTTGTGTTTTCGTGTTTGCCGTTACTGTTATTTGTCATGTTTTGTTGGTTTGTGTCGATGTCTCAGTCTGTCATGTCCCGTGTTTGATGTCCCCTTGAGGAGCGTCTGGTAGCCGCTCCTTAAGGTGGGGGTTCTGTCATGATTCTGCCCTCGTGTCCTTGATTTTCTCTAGTCTTGAGGCAGGATCATGACAGAATCATGTTTTGTGTGCAAGCACATGGTCTTGTGTTTTGAGCCATGTGCTTGTGTTGTCTCGTTACGTTACCCCGCCCCCTTGTTATCCTCGTCTCGTCATTATTGTCTAGTCAGTTTCACCTGTCCTTGTCTAGTCTGCTTCACCTGTCTTTGTCATTAGTGTTCCCCTATTTCATCCCCTTGTGTTTGCTGTCCTGTGCCGGTTCATTGTGTCACACTTTGTGAGAGTCTACCTGTGAGTACCTTGTCTTTGAAGAACGTCTTGATCTTGTATTTGCTGTTTTATAGTCTAGTGTTTGTCTAGTGTTATCTAGTTTAGTTATCCCTCGTTTGTATTGCCTCTGTTTTGCCCCCTCGTGGGCTTTATTTTCCCCTGTTTTTCTGTTATAATAAACGTTGTGTAATTGTCTACCGTCTGCGCTTGGGTTCTTCTGCTATCATCATAACACTTTCGGTCTTTTGGAATTACAATGGCTGCCTCGTGTCCGTTAAGTCCATGAGACCGTAGGGTGTCCCTTTTGTCATTTTAGGTCTCAGAAGGGTGCTGGCGAGCGTCCCCCTTTGTGGTCGATTTGCGCCCTCTATGCGCACTTTTGCCAGCCCGCAGCAAGGGGGGGTAATCCACCAGCCGGAAATTGAAGTCTACCCGGGGCCGGGGGCCCCCATTGGCTAACAAGCCTTCACCTGCTGTTAGCATTCCATCGACTCCCATTCATTTTGGTGTCACTTTGACAGCGAATAACCTTACATCTGAGACGTTTAAAGACTCCATTTGTCCATTGTTTATTTCTAAAGAAACACGACAATGTATAAAATGCTCCATTACCTTGTATCTTACGTTATGGCCACAGTTTTTTGTAAAAATAGGCTAACGATTGCGTCATAACATGCGACTCTCTGTTGCACAGTAGAGAAATTACCGTATAGACAGAAGTAGAAGCTCGCGCGCAATCGGTGGGCCGTGGAGGCATAAAGTCAAGGGAGAAGCCCATAGAGAGTTGTAAAGTTGCTCCTGCTGCTAGCTCATGGACAGATACTCACGATCTCCGGCTCTGCAAGATTCGGAAGGGAATGATTCAGATTCCCCTTGGCACAGCTACTAGAAGACGTACAACTGTAAGACAGGTTGCTCACGTCACATCTACGTCGTCAAGCTCAGTTTGAGCCTGCACAGTGTGCTTGGCAATCAGGAAGTGAGTGCTTCTAATTGACTTCACTTTTCTCTGTTGAAGTCAAGGGGGTAATCCATCAGCCGGAAACTGAAGCTTCGCTTGGGAGCCGCCATTGTAGCAGACTATCACCTGCTGTTAGCATTCCATTGACTCCTATTCATTTTGGCGTCACTTTGACAGCGAATAACTTTACATCTGAGGCGTCCAAAGACTCCATTTGTCCATTATTTATTTCTAAAGAAACACGACAATGTATAAAAGGCTCCATTACTTTGTATCTTACGTTATGGCCCCGTAGAAGCCGTTTTTGTAAAAATAGGCTAACGATCGGGTCATAACCACGGGACTATCTGTCGCACATTAGAGAAATTACCGGATAGACAGAAGAAGAAGCTCGTAGACAATATTTTACTGTCTATGTGGCAATCGGGTGGACATGGAGGCATAAAGTCAAGGGATAAGCCCATAGATAGAGAGTCCATAAAAGCAACGTGACAAAATATTTCAACAACAGATTTGTTTCAGATATCAATTCAGATTTGTCTTGGCACAGCTACTAGAAGGTCAGAATGGTTGCTCACGTCACATCTACGTCGTCAAGCTCAGTTTGAGCCTGTGCAGTACGCTTGGCTATCAGGAAGTGAGTGCTTCTATTGGGCTTCAATTCTCTCCGTTGAAATCAATGGGGTCGCTGTGTCCATTTCTTTTACTGTCTATGGCCCGCAGTAGTAGCTCTACAGCAGACTTCTTCCCAACAGTCAAAGTGGCGTTACGTCACGAAAGTGTGGACTCATAGGAAGACCGCTAGTTTTTTTTATTTTTTTTTTAGTTTTTTATTGAACACTAAGAACAGAACAAAAACAGAATATACATCTATGGCATTGGTAAATACAGGTAAATGAGTATTAAGCAAGGCACATATCAATATAGGAAGACCGCTAGTGCTTAGGGTGCCATTTGGGACAGGCCTATTATAGAACCGTAGGGTGGAGCGGTCATAGCCGTGTTTTATCGTGAATAAAACACAGCTATTGACCAATCAGGATCAAGGACTGGAACTAACCGTTTAATAAATATTCCTGTTCGCGTCGTGCCCTATGGTCGTGCCTCAACGCCCTTCAGCCGTGACTTATTTACGAAACAGCACAGCCTCTCGTACATTATTGCTTAAATAAAACATACTGTGTGTATTATATATATATATATATATATATATATATATATATATATATATATATATATATATATATATATATATATATATATATATATATATATATTATTTAAAGGTTCTGTAAGTTCTGTAATCCTTTTATGGAGTTTCCTCCTGACTGAGTTAGACACACCCCTTTTTAAATCAAAATAGCGTTCTCACTGTCTCGCACCCCAACCTGACAACTACTGACGAAGCTGAAAATGGTGTTAAACATAAATGATAATGCTTCCACTACCACACTCTCAGTTTAAGAGCTGTCCATGATTGCACGGACTCATGGACAAGCAGAAAGCGCATCAATGTCTTTTGCCTGACTAAACAAAAAATCTAACTAATAGGGATATTTTCTGAGTGGCATTCCGATTAAAAAAATCATGTTCAACACCTTTAAGAAAGTTTAACATGATTTGCAGTTGTAAATGTTTATTTAAAAAAAAAAAAGAAAACTTAAGGCCTAAAGGCCTATTCACATCAAGAATGATGACTATACAGATAACTATAATGATAATTATATTAGCGTCAACACCAATGGACGATTGTAATTAGCATTATGTTGTCTGCTGCATTAAACGCTTAGCCTAAACTCTTTTAAAATTCTGATTGGCTGTTAAGAAAATTGCTCTGAAAGTGATTTAAATTATATTGTTCCTCTCTATGTCGTTATTGTTATATCTGTGGTGCGGACTTCCACATTCTCATACAATTAGAATGAAAACGTCTAGAAATCCCAAATATCTTAAATCTCACTTTCTAAAGTCACAGATTTTCTTCCTTCTTATATTATCGACTATTGACAATCAGATCACATGATGATTAATTTTCACTTAGTGCTTGAACTTTTTCATCATTGTCATTTTAAAAAGTAATTTCTCTTCATTTTTCTCTTCTGGGCATCATAATTAACTTTATGAACCTTAATTTTTTACACCTCTTGTGATTTCATCTTTTTGTCACATTTTGAGGTTCAAAATTGACAAATACTTTCTGAATGTGACCTTGTGCTAATTCTCCTGTTCTGCACAGTCTGAACAACACGCTTCAGCCCCTTTTCACTGCCTTGGCTTTGTCTCTAACACTCAGTGGGCGGTAAAGCTTTTCCAAAAGCAGTTTGGTGATTTAAGTTAAATGTTTTTCTTTGCATCTCCTCTCTCCGATGGGATTTCTCTCCAAAAACAGTTTAGACAAAAAGGATGTTGGAAACCAGTGCAATACTTGCCGAATAGAATAATGCACCATATGACAAACATAAAAGGCATTATGGCGCTATATAGCAGCAGGTCTACAGAATGATTTATAGCAGCCGGTGAAATGATAAAGTAAAGCCAGACTGCGAGGTCTTATTAGCAGTACATAATGCATTATGCTGTGAATGCTAATGACACTGTGCTCTGCTATCACAGAGCCTTGCTTGAGAATGTTTAGTCATTATGTTTATGGCCTTGAAATATAAATTTAACCTAATGTTTATAGATTTAGGACTATGAAGAACCACTATATTTGTGGTTCAGGCTATGTGATTAGGAAAGAATCGTTTAATTCTAGAGTTTATGCATATCTAAACTACAGCAGAGAACGTCAGACAGACATGCCTCAGGTACTAACCATATATTGCACTGCATGTTTGTAAGAAAGTCAGACTGTTGTGATACAGTGTGTTTCTTTATCCTTTAGTTTACAAGATCACTGTGGTCTTCAAAATCACCTATGTTTAAATCACCACATCACTCCCTTATCCCTCATAAGCTGTCTCCTTCATTTCTGCATGGCCAGGGTGTTGTAACACCCTTCTGGTGATTCATTTATTTATGTATTTCTCATCTGCCTCATCTTGTTTAATTATTCATGGGAAACACAATTAGCTGAGGGAACCGACTGCAGTGCAGCCTTCAAGAATACAGTGCAAAGACGACAGGCTTCTGTAATCTCTTCTGTAATCTCTTCTCTTCTCTTCTCTTCTCTTCTCTTCTCTTCTCTTCTCTTCTCTTCTCTTCTCTTCTCTTCTCTTCTCTTCTCTTCTCTTCTCTACTCTACTCGACTCGACTCGACTCGACTCGACTCGACTCTGAATCCTTGTATCTCCAAAAACGATTTTACCACAATCAAGCTCAATGGCTCTCCAAACTCTGATTTAAGTTTCATACATAAAACCAACAATGGACACATCCATACAGAGACAGTAGAAGATGAAGAGGAGCTTTTCTCATTAGTAAATCAATTAGCAGCTCCTGACCAAAAATGTAGGCAGGGCAGATTCTGGGTCTTAGCACCAGTTTAAACATTTTGTAAGCTTTATGGTGTAATCGCTGAACACACAAGGGTTGCATTATTTAGCCTGAGGGTGGCTCTCCAATGTGGATTGACAGGCTTTAAGAACACAACATATGCATCGAATGCTATCTTTGAATTGCCTTAAAGGGTTAGTTCACCCAAAAATGAAAATTATGTCAGTAATTACTCACCCTCATGTTGTTCCAACCCTGTAAGACTTTCGTTCATCTTCAGAACACAAATTAAGATATTTTTGATTAAATCTGAGAGCTGGATCACTGTGAAAGGCCTTCTGCTTTTTCAGAGGATGTTACATAAGGAATGTATGGAAATGGGAATGTTTGTGGTTGCACAGTAATTCATATATAGCACAAATAAAACTGTTATTTGTACATAAGCATAGAAATCACAGTTTGCAGTACTGCATAATGTTCAGGTGGATGAATAGACTGTTATTAAATTTACATCCCAGGCATGAGCTCAGAGCCATGAACTCATGAATATTCCTGGATATTTATTACCTGTGTAGTCTTCATTTGCACACAAACACACACACACACCCATACACATGCACACATACGTGCCACACAAACATACACATTACTGATTCTGAGCAGGGGTTCTTGTTGTTCATTAGAAGCATAGATACTTCACCCTTTCAAAATATCACCTCTTCTAGTTTTTCCTATGGCTGCAGAGTCAGAAGAACGGGGCTTTTAATGGACTGGACAGAGACGCCGGTGGCTGCACTGTGACAACTTTTTCATTCTCATGTAGATGTTCTCTCTCTTTTTGTGTAGTTTGGGAGAACTGAAGTCATTGACAACACCCTGAACCCAGACTTTGTGAGAAAGTACATCCTGGACTATTTCTTTGAGGAGAAACAGAATCTTCGCTTTGACATGTGAGTTATTCCCTTTGATGCTGACACACAGAAATCTGCCTCACTCTCCGATGTGCTGTCCCACTCCAGGCTTTCTGCTCTCGCTCTGTCTGTTTGTCTCTCCCTCTCCCAGTGCATCTTCCTCTGTAATTATTGATGCTGCCTCTCTCTTGACTGTCACGTGTAAGGGGCTGGATCAGTGAAAGGGTGATAAATATTTCAGATGAGTTTTATCCTCAATCTTTACGCAGCGGTTCAAAAGCAAATGTGTGGCGTGGGATCCCAGATGATTTATAACGCATTCCTCCCTTCCCTGCACCTGACTGTCCATCTCGCTCTCATTTACCACCTTAAATGGGTTATTCTGCTGAGCTGAAAAGGGGCTGCTGCAGTGCAGGCTGGAGAGTTCTGTGTGTTGTCAGCGAGAAATCTTCCACGTTTATGTCAACTCTCGCTTATACAAATGCAAATATTCACAGAACCAACCAGCTGTGCCCCAGAACAGCACACCCACTCACATTTTAACAGCGGCAAGAATTTAAATACAGACTAGTAGTGATCCGATTTAGGGTGAAACGTACCATTTCTTCTACAGTAGCGAAATGTAATTGCAAAAATAACACTCCTTCTATCTTCTATTTTTCCGGACATCATTTTTTATGACAACCAAAGTTTTGATTTGTTAAAATCACCATGCAACGGAACTAGCGACACATTTTTTTCCTCCATATTGTGTTGTACATCCGAGTGTGACGAATTATTGTAAAATAAAAAATCTAGGACTTGGTCTATGCATCGATTCTTGATTGCACTTAAGTGACGGCAGATGAACATGAGCTTGTAGAGGCGGAATAAATGATTGGATAAGTCTGGCCATTAGAGAGAAGTATGTGATTTTCACTGGAAGGTCCAGTTAAGATATTTTAATTGAACATTATACAAGGTCAATTTAAAAATAAAATAAAAAAATAAACGAATGCACAGATTAATTGTTCACAAAATGATCTATAACATGCATTTAGAAAACAGAATTTTCATTTCATGTGGACTTTAAAGGGGTCATCGGATGCCCATTTTCCACAAGTTGGTATGATTCTTTAGGGTCTCCATGTAAAGTTTGTAACATACTTTGATTAAAATTCCTCAATGGTTGTGTAAAACAACACCCTTTTTACCTCCTCAAAAACAGCTCTGTTCACAGCGACCCGTTTCGGTGCATGTCTCTTTAAATGAGAATTAGCAACTGCTCACCCCACCCCTCTCTTCCATGGGGGGAGTCGACACAAGACACACAAAGTGCTGCCTTGCCTTGGTGGACAGTATACAAATGGCTGAGGGCCGAAATATGCTAATACGGGACAGTCCGTCAGAGGTCGTGGGTGGAGCATGAGCAAAATGACATCATATTGCTCAGAAAATCCAAACGGCTTGATTATTAAGAGGTTTTATGCTTTTTGAGGATTAAAAAAAGGGGTGTATGGATTTTTTTCATTGTATGGTGGTTGTGTCCACACACTGCAGAGACACATTTATATACAAACACCATATACAAGTGAATTTTGCATCCGATAACCCCTTTAAGAGACATTCTCTATAAGAAATCAAAATATCATTATCATTAGTCCATTCTAGATCAAAGAATGTGAGGATGGGTTAAGCATTCCTCTTTATAACAAGAGAAAATGGGCCATGCTGTCTTCTAACAATACTAACTTAAGCTGTTTTCTTGGATTTCAGATATGACATTGACTCCAAAAGTCCTGATCTGGCCAAACACGTGAGTATATAGCAGCACTTTGTATGTGTATGTGCATGTGTGTTTGCTTGGATGTATATGAAAGTTCTTTGGCAATTGCACATTTTGACATGCATGCTTCTTCATTCTGCGGTTGGTTTTATGCAATCTAAAATGATTCAAAATGATGTCATATTTTGTATCATTATCAAAGCTGTGCAAAACTGAAGAACTAAAGTTCTCTCTCTGGCTCTCTAATAAAACAGCCTCTTTAGCTCACAATAGCACAATATAGCACTGTATTCTGCAGTGTGCTTGACTTTTGTAAATACAAACAATTTGTTCCTTATTAAACTGATAAAAAGCAAGCTAAAATATATAATGCGTTGAGGGATGAATTTACTAAACATTTGCAGCACTTTTCAGTCACAGGCATTGTCATTCTTTTTAGCAGAAACAAGCTTTCTTTCTATGTAAATTAGACTTATTGCAAAAAAAAACTATTTGCTTAGAGAAATTAAGGAAAAGTATAATTCATTATAAAATAATTATTTATTATTATTATTATTATTATGCATTCTCAAATTAATGTAAGTATTATAAAATAGGTAGTAGGTTTTTGTCAATTTTTGCATCTTAGTTTGAGTTACATAAATATAAAACCTGAACCAAAACTATGCAGCCAACTGGGGTTTATGAAATTACGATTTTGTATAGAACCAACCGAATGTGCGTGTGTGTGTGTGTCTGTGTTAATTTTCATCTTTAGTGAAATTCAGATTTATGATTTTCTCACTCTTTTTTGTTTTGTTTGTAATCCGTGATCATCGTGGGTGTTTTTCCCTTTCTCTCTTCTCCAAGATCCTTTCTCACTATTCTCTAACTCTCGTTTTTTCTCTCCTATCCTCTTCGGCCTGACTTCTTCAATTCGTTTTTTTTTTTTTTGTCTTTTCTGTTACATGATATGCTCTGTTGTTATTGATATATTTGCGGCCTCACCTCCCTCCTGGAAGCCCTCCGATTTCAACGTACGTCTCTGCCTTGCACTCCTAGAATTTTCTCTTTACCGGTACAACTCATTTATACCCAGTAACACCCTGACTCATTCTGCTCTCTCTCCTTTACTTCCTGCGTGTCGATCCTGCCTCCTCTGGGCCATCTTTTGTTTGGGCCGCCCTTCTGTAGGACTTCCTAGGTCAGACCTTCTGCACTCTGGGTGAGATAGTGGGTTCACCAGGCAGTCATCTGGAAAAGCCTCTGGGGTAAGAAGCTAATGCACTGTTCTATGAGCCAAGCTTACCTCCTCAATCAGATCGGGATGTATTCAAAGTTAGAGAAGCTGTATGGGCTCAACGGTTGTGCCTGAAACCATCTCAGACAGATTACCAGCCACTTTCTGTGAGCTGTTCTTAAGTAGATCGCCTTCGTTCCTATTGGCTGCCTATCTATCTACACTGTAAAACGGGGAATTACATTGGTGTTTTTGAGCCACATATATTAAGAACTTACTTACATATAGATTAAGAAATTATCTACATAAAAAATGCATATACACTATGGTTTAAAGTTGGTAAGATTTTTTTAATGCTATTGAAAAAATTATCTTATGCTCACCAAGGCTTCTGTCACAAACTGCTCCGAAACATGGGTTGAGGATCCAAAAGGTTTTCTTAGGGAAATCCAGAATCATTATCCATAAAACAGGCAATAGGTCAAAACTCAGGGCAGATAATCTAAAAAGACAAAGAGGTCAGACAAACACAGGGAAACAGGGAAATCTGGAAAACCAAGCAGAAAGTCAACCCCCCGGGGAGTGTAATTGTAGTGTGACACTTACAAGTCTTTGCAAAGAATGAGTGAAACCACAGGGCTTAAATAGGCAGGCATTAACAAGATAATGAGACACAGGTGTAAGTAATCAAACATAAGTCCGGGCAATGGGTTATATGAGATGCAGGTGACCAGGCTGGAGCAGGCCGAGTGGGTGACAAGAGTGGAGCAGGCAGAGCAGCTGGCCAAGGAGGAGCTGACGGGACTGAAGACCACCATGGCGGGGCAGATGACCACCACAGCAGAGTAGACAGGACTGAAGTTCCCCACGGCGGAGCAGAAGACCACCACAGGAGGGCAGATGGGGTTGGTGACCACCAAGGTGTAGCAGAAGACCACCACAGTGGAGCAGGCTGGACTGGTGACCACCATGGCGGAGCTGAAGACCACCAGGGCAGATCATGCAAAACTGGAACAAAGAGCACATAGAGGTTAGGGTTGGCTTCTAGGGCCGTGTCAAAATGGCCTCCGTGGCCATAACCGGGCAGACAGGAAGTAAAGGGACATCTTTGTGGTTCTGTCATCGTGAGAGTTCACGGCCCACACACACAAGATGCCAGTTGCATCACAGGAAACACAGCCGACGGTGGAAGGACCTCTTAGTCCCCCGGACTCGGTACCACTGATCTTGGGTGCGCTGAGCTTGAGGAGGATGTTGAGACCATTGAGATGCCAGCTGTTCGCACCGACATCAGTGGTGGGTCTGCCAAACCAGAAGCCAGTCTCAAATGCCTAAGGACCACTTTGATAGTTCCATAGCCTCTGGCGTAACGGCCAATGGCGGCTGGAGATTCTGGCGTGGCGGCCATGTCTTGAAGAGGCTCTAGCGTGATGTAATGTACAAGGCTCTGGCCTTGTATATTTTGACTTTGGCCAAGCAGCTATCATGCACTCCATTTGATTGGTTTAAACGGTCTGCTCAGATCTTGCTGAAATGGGCCGTAGCCTGGTGTTCTAGTGTAGTTTAGAGCGTTATTGCTGCGGAATGATGATGGATACTCCCATCTATTCCTCACCATCTGTGTCTTATGTCACTGTAGCAGATTAGGCTTGTCGCTGCAGATTGCAAACGCTTATGGAACACAACCAGACTTCCATGCTGCATTTACTCCTAAAGATTTTGGCATACAACCTTTAGAGGTGGAGGTTTCTTCAACTACTGCCACTGGTATTTTAGAAAAAAAACACACACTTTTGACATTTGAAAGATTTCTGGGACAAAATGTCTTGTTTTGCTAAGGCTAGTCTCTTGGCTAGTCATTTGTTAAGTAAACTAAAGTTATACTAAAGGTATATATATAGTGTTTCTAGAGTAAAGAAAACACTGTACGGTAACACTTTTTCTAATATTTTACAGTGTCATTGTTACATGTTATATATAGTGTTTCTAGAGTAAAGCAAACACTGTACGGTAACACTTTTTCTAATATTTTACAGTGTCATTGTTACACGTTATATATAGTGTTTCTAGAGTAAAGAAAACACTGTACGGTAACACTTTTTCTAATATTTTACAGTGTCATTGTTACACGTTACATGCAGTTACTATAGTAATTGTGTATAATTGCATAAAACTAACATTAACCACACCCTAATCCTAACCCTTATTGTATAGTAAGTACATGTAGTTAATTATTACTCAGTACTAAAATGTACAATTACATTGTAACACACACACCTTAAAATAAAATGTTACCCACTGTACTTATTCAAAGAACCAGTTCTTATTTTGCATTGCAAACAAGAAGAGATGGTCCAAACTGTGTGTGGCACTTCATTCATGATAGAGGCAGGTGGAGCTATATGAGGTTTTACAGATAGCTTGAGGATCTAGTGGAGTTATGAGGTTTAGTCACAAGCTCTCTTTAATACTTTTCATTGGTTAAATATTTGCAAACCCCACAGACAGATGTAAAGCGTGACCAATAGTAATGAAACATAACAATATGAATTCATATTTTCTAATATTTTTAATATTTTTAAATAAAAAAAGATATTACAAATATTAGAAAATATGAATTCATATTGTTCTGATAATTGTCATTTTACAACAATAATTTCAATTTTAAACATTAAAAAAAAATCTATACAAAAAACCTAAATGTTTTGAAATATAGGAAAAATAAGTAATGGCATAATCTGACCTTCATATAGCAAAAAGAAAAAAATTTGTTAGTTTTAATAAAAATCTACCCATGGGGCATAAATGTGCAGACACCTCTTCCCCCTCCAAATCTCTTCCCCCCTCTAAATCTGTGCTGGCTGCTTGTACAAAATGATTAGAGAATACAAGCTGAAGTTTAGGAGGTAGATGTAACGATTGCATGGTTTAGTCAGCCTTTAAATACGGCACACAAATGAGTGAGTGCTGTGGATGGAACAGACCCTATTGATCAACCTGAAACACCCACTCAATCTCATGATGGACTGAGGTGTAAAGACCACCCATCGGCCCAACGACGGAATCCAACGGTGTGGGCGAAGGTATAATGCGTGTGTGTCTTTTCAGCACTCCTGTGAAGTTCACCTAATTTATTAGAATTTATAATAATAATAATAATGAATTACATTTATATAGCGCTTTTCTAGGCACTCAAAGCGCTTCACATGGAAGGGGGAATCTCCTCAACCACCACCAATGTGCAGCATCCACTTGGATGATGCGACGGCAGCCATATTGCGCCAGAACGCTCACCACACACCAGCTTACTGGTGGAGAGTGATGAAGCCAATCAGTGTATATATATATATATTTAGTTTCAATATTACTTTAGCTCTACGCTTAATCTGACTCCAATTTCAAATGATTATCAAATTTAGATTGTGTTTCTTATTAGAAAATAATCATAAATATTGATTATGACTTAATTTAGATCTTTGATTATTCTGAGCATCCCATACTTTCAATTATTCATTCATTAAAGGCAGTGTTGTGTACTCTAGACTCGGTCTCGGTCTCGAGACCATATTTTAATGGTCTCGGTCTTGTCATGGACTCGTGTGCATTTTGACTCGGAATTGACTCTATTAGGACTCGGACTTATTCCCGAGTCCACTCGAGTCCCATTCAAAATATGTCATGATTATTACTGTATGTTAATATTTCTTTAAATTGTTGTTTGATTGAAACGTCCAATGATTGCTGACTTTCTTGTGCGCAACTGCGCATGACTTGAGACTATAACGTTCGCGGCGCGCAAATGCAGCAGGACCCAGGTCAGATGTGATGTGGAGCCTCTAGCTCAGTATTAAAAATGTCTGCCTTATCATCCATAATTCAGTTTGCATAAGAGCCACACAGAATTCGTGTGCAGTAATGTTATGTGTAAGAGCACTTACTGATTGTAATAATTGTAAGTCATAATTGTAATAAAATTACCTTTACACCACCTACTATGTGGCCTTTTTACCATTACAGTGTACATGATTCCATGGTATATTTGATTTACTGTTTGAGTATGGTGCCAATTTTATTGTTACCACCAAATATTTTACATGTTCTTGAAGATATCTTTAGGTCTGGTTACAGACCCAACCTTAGGTTATCCAACCTCTCTGGTCTCAACTCGGACTCGACCCTCTATGGTCTCGGTCTCGACTCGGACTCGACCTTCTATGGTCTCGGACTCGACCCTCTATGGTCTCGGTCTCGACTCGGACTCGACCCTCTATGGTCTCGGTCTCGACTCGGACTCGACCCTCTATGGTCTCGGTCTCGACTCGGACTCGACCCTCTATGGTCTCGGTCTCGACTCGGACTCGACCCTCTATGGTCTCGGTCTCGACTCGGACTCGACCCTCTATGGTTTCGGTCTCGACTCGGACTCGACCCTCTATGGTCTCGGTCTCGACTCGGACTCGACCCTCTATGGTCTCGGTCTCGACTCGTACTCGACCCTCTATGGTCTCGGTCTCGACTCGGACTCGACCCTCTATGGTCTCGGTCTCGACTCGGACTCGACCCTCTATGGTCTCGGTCTCGACTCGGACTCGACCCTCTATGGTTTCGGTCTCGACTCGGACTCGACCCTCTATGATCTCGGTCTCGACTCGGACTCGACCCTCTATGATCTCGGTCTCGACTCGGACTCGACCCTCTATGGTCTCGGTCTCGACTCGGACTCGACCCTCTATGGTCTCGGTCTCGACTCGGACTCGACCCTCTATGGTCTCGGTCTCGACTCGGACTCGACCCTCTATGGTTTCGGTCTCGACTCGGACTCGACCCTCTATGGTCTCGGTCTCGACTCGGACTCGACCCTCTATGGTCTCGGTCTCGACTCGGACTCGAACCTCTATGGTCTCGGTCTCGACTCGGACTCGACCCTCTATGGTCTCGGTCTCGACTCGGACTCGAATGAGCTGGTCTCGACTACAACACTGATTAAAGGACACGGAATCGCTTTGAGACGTCACGTCGCGAATGTGCGCT